TAGACACAACATCTTTTAGGTCAGTACCTTCATGTATATTAAACTCCAATAGACCTTGACTCATGAATGACCTTGACCACGAAGTTCAAATTATATCCTTTTTCACTAATTGTTGTATAATTGGCTGTAACTTAATGATTTATCAATGAATTATTTTCTTACTTGAACAAACAACCTTTTGAACGAAATCTTCTAAAAGGTTAAACTTACATTGAAATTTAACTTTCAATGACAAAGAATTGAATTTTTGTTAAGTTGTCATAATTTTGCTATAATCCCAGCACGATAAACAGAACTTTCGTCATGTTTATTAATAGTATGGAACAGTCTATTTTGAAGCTCATAATAAAGGTAAATGAAAGGGTTCCAGATTGATTAACCAATATATTGATAATAGTTATAGACAGTGGTAGGTTCAGTAATAGCTCAATCGGTAGAGCACTACAATCACAAAAAGTTTTATGACACAAGACTGACAAGCTCTTTTAGGTAAAATTTTTTATCGAGGTTTGTGTTTTTTGTTTCCAACCATTTATGAATAGTACATTTAAATTTGATTTACATATTTTTTGTTTTCGTTTTTTCTATGATTATTTTACTTTCAAGCGAAGTATCTTCAACTTTCTAGTATTTTTTTCTTTAGGAATGTATTTCAAGATATGCAATAGATACAATAAATACAACATTTCACTTTCATCTGCCGTATCTATTGTTTCTCCGGTTTCTCTGTGTCGGTGTCATCGTTACTGACTCCGCAGGCATCTGCAGTTCTGTCGTATGGCGCAGTAAGCGGAATCGTCAGCTCTCCCTCATCTTTCTCTCGTCGAAAATAATTTTAAAAAAACATTTTCTATAATTTGTCGGGGCTCAAAATTTTTCAACATGTCTGAATAGTATTCAAGTAAAGACAATAACGAAACTTTTGTTAAGTTATATACATGTATATGTGAAATATTTTCTGCATGGGATATTAGCGTTCTTTGATTTGACTTGTATTAAGCTGTGTTATTTTGTCTTTGTGTTATTACGGATATATATTTATATGTGTACATTGTCAAACTGATATTAATGTGTTTTACAGCGAAGCTGGAATAAAAAAAGAAAAAAGTTCCACGAGGTTTCGAACCCACAAGTAATTTCATTTGCAGAGGTTGCTCAACTTACTACACTATAGAGTCATTCGAAGTTATATTGTCTTCAAATACTTTCTCTGTATCTTTAATGGAAATACATTGGTTAATCACCAGTAGTTAACCTATGTTTATCTTTTCATGGACTGTGCTTCTGTTTTTAGACATGACGAGTTCTGTTTATCGTGCTCGGACTATATTTATGTATAGATTTGTTTCATGCGTAAACAAAACAACACTTGTGACCAAACAAACATATGGAATATTTAAGATATGACAGTGACCTAAAAAATGACCTTGACCATCAATTGATTAAATTTTGATTAAATTTTTTTAACTTTGTCATTTTTTTCCCTTTAAATCAGTTTTAAAGATTTTTATAAACCTTTGATTTGTTTGCTTTTTGAAAAAGTTACGGATGTAATATAAATCCGTGGAAAAAGTAAACAAGTCAAGTGTTTTCCCGACTTAAACAGGAGGGTTTTTGCCCGGGAGGGCTATTTTCCAACACTCCTTACATGTACAAATGTATATAAGATAACCTGCGTTCTTTTTGAGGACTCAATTATGGCTTCTTTTATGAAGGAGTTATGTGCTTAGGGTGATGTCATTCAGCAGTTTTGAGAAAGCTATAAATTGAAACATAGCAAAAATTTTTAAATTAGCATGTTCATTTATTATTATACCCCGCACAACAAAGTTGTAAGGGGGGTTTACTGGAATCAGCTTGTCCGTCCGGCCGTCCCTCGGTTTTTTCTTGTCTGCCCAATAACTTAAGATGTCTTTGACCTTTAGTCTTCATATTTGGCATGGAGGTTAGTCATGATTAGTAGATGACCCCTATTGATTTTGAGGTCACTAGGTCAAAGGTCAAGGTCACAGGGGCCTTGGCTTCAAAAACCTTGTCCGCCCAATAACTTAAGATTCCTTTGACCTACAGTCTTCATATTTGGCATGGAGGTTAGTCATGATTAGTATATGACCCTATTGATTTTGAGGTCACCAGGTTAAAGGTCAAGGTCACAGGGGCCTTGACTTCAAAAAGCTTGTCCGCCCAATAACTTAGGATTCCTTTGACCTACAGTCGTCATATTTGGCATGGGGGTTAGTCATGATAAGTAGATGACCCCTATTGATTTTGAGGTCACCAGGTCAAAGGTCAAGGTCACAGGGGCCTTGACTTCAAAAAGCTTGTCCGCCCAATAACTTAAGATTCCTATGACCCATAGTCTTCATATTTGGCATGGAGGTTAGTCATGATTAGTAAATGACCCCTATTGATTTTGAGGTCATCAGGTCAAAGGTCAAGGTCACATGGGCCTTCACTTCAAAAAGCTTGTCCGCCCAATAACTTAAGATTCCTTTGACCCATAGTCTTCATATTTGGCATGGAGGTTAGTCATGATTTGTAGATGACCCCTTTTAATTTTGAGGTCATCAGGTCAAAGGTCAAGGTCACAGGGGCCTTGACTTCAAAAAGCTTATCCGCCCAATAACTTAAGATTCCTTTGACCCATAGTCTTCATATTTGGCATTGAGGTTAGTCATGATTAGTAGATGACCCCTATTGATTTTGAGGTCAAAGGTCAAGGTCACAGGGGCCTTGACTTCATAAAGCTTGTCCGCCCTATAACTTAAGATTCCTTTGACCCACAGTCTTCATGTTTGGCATGGAGGTTAGTCATGATTAGTAGGTGACCCTATTGATTTTGAGGTCAAAGGTCAAGGTCACAGGGGCTTTGACTTCAAAAAGTTTGTCTGCCCAATAACTTTAGAATCCTTTGACCCACAGTCTTCATATTTGGCATGGATGTTGATCATGACTATAAGGTGACCCCTATTGACTTTGAGGTCACTGGGTCAAAGGTCAAGGTCACAGGGACCTTGACAAAAAAAGCTTTTCTTCTCAATTGCTTAAGAATGTCCTGTCCGCAGGGTTTTTTTCCAGTATTTTGGGAACATGACCCATACCCTTGAGATTGGGAATTTTAGTGGCATTTTGCCCAAAATTGGGAAAAAAAAACACAACATTTTCAAGTTTCCTGAGGCAATATATTCCTTTTCTAATATTATAGGATTTAGTTCACAAAAGTAGGTCTCTGATTTTCAAATTTTTGAACTGTGTTATTGTATGGTGTTTTGACTTTACACCTCCTGGATGTTTCACCCCTGGATGTTTCACCCTCAAAACCCTGGTGTTTTCATCACCACTTTTTAAATTTGAAATAAATACCATTATGGGTTAATATTATATATAATATAACACATACTTGCAAACAATTACATTCATGAAGAAGATTTTTTTGACATAAATATAGTGAAATTTCCCTGGGAAAATAATTATAAATATGAGTTCTGAAATAATTATCAGCTATAAGTCTACATGTATATATTATTTCATTTTTTTTTGTTATCCAAAAATTAAATACCATAAAAATATTGATTAAATAAAATATGTTTTTATATAACAGATAAGAACAATTAGAAGTGTGAAACAATTTTGAATAAAGCATTATAAACACAGGTTTATTAATTTATAATTACTAAATTAACACCTTTAGAAGTGTGTAACTAATAGTTCTTTTTAGTTTTTATAAAATAGGAAATAAAATTATATGATGAAAATAACAGTGTTTATTTTAATGTTATGTTATTGTATTGTGCATACATTGTAGATATAGTAATTGACTCTGAATAAAATTTAGTAAATCTTATCTGTAATCATTTTGTTTATTTGTTTTTCATACATTGATACATATTTGGTAAATTTTATTTGAACAAGAATGTCATTTTTAAATAAAATTTCTTAATTATAAATTTCAAAAAACAAATATTCTCTCAATGTCTATCATGCAAATTTATATGATAATGAGTTATCTGTCGCTGAAAAAAACTCGCACAATTTGCAACAATACCAAACTTTTGCACCAATATAAAACAACAATGCATACTTCAACTGGTATTTGTTGGAACTTAATAACATTTGATCATTGACAGGGACAACTGTATCTGATTTAAACTCGTCGCTAGAACTTTAAAACCCCGAGAAGGAACATCATTGTGGTAACTCACAGTCACCGTTGAAGGATTTCCCATTATTACTTGCAGTTTCATTCGCCGTTTCCGTTTCAGAAGTACAACTCTTTTCCGAGAGAGTCGCCTGCGTAAACATTAAATCATTTTTTTTTTTTGTTTTTATCAGTGCTTTTTTAACGTGTGAAACATTTTGATTTACTTTCACTTTCGAAGGTCGTCGGTATAGTAAGACGCTCGATAAACTTATACTAAGAAATCAAGCGTCTACTTAACACGTGGGTTGTTTAGACGCCGGCTATTTGCTTAATTTTACGTTCCCCCAAAGATCGATTTTTAAAATTTTTTTTTTAAGTTTTCGATTGGGAATTTTTGTATCGAAATTGGGAAAAAAAATATACTATTTTCAATTGGGAATATGACCGAATAATGGCTATAAAATCGGCCAAAAAAAACCCCTGGTCAGCAATGTATTGATTTTGACATTTTCACATTTGAAGCTTGTAGAATACATAACTTAGCAATGCACTGGCTTAGTAACCTCAGATTTGGCAGGGATGTTGTCCTTGAGCTCTAAATGGCCACTGTTGATTCTGACAAAGTGGTATGCGGGGGTATTCACGCCAAAATAGTGGCAGTTCTAGTTTAATAACTCTAACGATTTAAATTAACAGTTCCATATACATTTCTTAGTAAGATAAACATCCTCATATCTGAACATTGTACCATGAAAGCAACTTTAAGACTCTGTGTGTCTGAAGAAATTTAAAATGTTAAAATTTGTAAATACAAGGTGAATTTAACAAGTGAATTATGTGATGATTTCTTTAATTATAGGTCTAACTTCCAGCAAGGAAATAAAAGCTGACAAGATGTACAGTAAAGACACACTTTGTGAGAAGTTAATATAACCTGATTTGAAAAAATGTGGTGTTCAAAAAAAAAAGATGCTCAGCCTCTGTAAAATGACCCATAGATGTTATATACATGTATGTGATAAAACATTTACTCAACAAAGTTCCCTGAAAACACATATGAAAATTCATACTGGTGAGAAGAATGTATGTAAAATATGTGATAAAGACATCTGACAATTCATACTGGCGAGAAAGATCATGTATGTAAAATTTGTGATAAAGCATTTTCTCAACAACAATATCTTACAATACATATGGCAGCACATACTGGCGAGAAGAATCATATATGTAACATATGTGATAAAGCATTTTCTCAACAAGCTTCTTTGAACAAGCATATGACAATACATACTGGCGAGAAAATACATACATTTAAATGTAAATTATGTGATAAAGCATTTTCTTATCAAAGTAGTTTGATTAGACATATGACAATACACACTAGTGAGAAGAATCATAAATGTGGAATATGTGACGAATCATTTTTTCTTAGAGGTGATTTGATCAGACATATGACAAGACACACTGGCGAGAAGATTCATAAATGTGGAATATGTGACAAAACATTTTCTCAACGAGGTAGTTTGATCAGACATATGACAATACATACTGGTGAGAAGAATCATATATGTAACATATGTGATAAAGCATTTTCTCAACGAGCTTCTTTGAACACGCATATGACAATACATACTGGCGAGAAAATACATACATTTAAATGTAAATTATGTTATAAAGCATTTTCTTATCAAAGTAGTTTGATCAGACATATGACAATACATACTGGTGAGAAGAATCATATATGTAACATATGTGATAAAGCATTTTCTCAACGAGGTTATTTGAACAAGCATATGACAATACATTATAGCAAGAAAAATCATGTATGTAAAATTTGTGATAAAGCATTTTCTCAAAAACGATATCTTACAATACATATGACAATACATACTGGCGAGAAAATACATACATTTAAATGTAAATTATGTGATAAAGCATTTTCTTATCAAAGTAGTTTGATTAGACATATGACAATACACACTAGCGAGAAGAATCATAAATGTGGAATATGTGACAAATCATTTTTTCAACGAGGTGATTTGATCTCACATATGACAACACATACTGGCGAGAAGAATCATAAATGTAAAATATGTGTTAAAGCATTTTCTCAACGAGGTACTTTGAACAGGCATATGACAATACACACTGGCGAGAAGAATCATAAATGTGGAATATGTGACAAATCATTTTTTCAATGAGGTAATTTGATCACACATATGACAATACGCACTGGCGAGAAGAATCATTAATGTGGAATATGTGACAAAACATTTTCTCAACGAGGTGCTTTGATCAGACATATGGCAACACATACTGGCGAGAAGAATCATTTATGTTACATTTGTGATAAAGCATTTTCTCAACGAGCTTCTTTGAACAAGCATATGACAATACATACTGGCGAGAAAATACATACATTTAAATGTAAATAATGTGATAAAGCATTTTCGTATCAAAGTAGTTTGATTAGACATATGACAATACACACTAGCGAGAAGAATCATAAATGTGGAATATGTGACAAATCATTTTTTCAACGAGGTGATTTGATCACACATATGACAACACGTACTGGCGATTAGAATCATATATATTACATATGTGATAAAGCATTTTCTCAACGAGGTTAATTACTTTTCGTTAGTCAGTTTTTCACAGAGTTCTCCAAGAAAGTCTGCACTTCAATGATTACAGTCAGTCACGGATTTATATTACTATATTGTGTAATATAAATCCGTGAGTCAGTTCATAAAAACGATTGTTACATGTGTCAGTTTGGAAATGAAATATTGGCGGAGCTTAGATAATATCCCGGCTACTTTTGTTATTATACATGGACTTGTATAAAACTATAAGGTATAAATTTTCATTCTCATACTTAAGAATGTTATTACAATTAAAAAAGAGACTATATAAAACACAAGCGACTGTTCTGTGCCATTGCTGTTCATGTATAAACCATCCAAGACCAAAGTATTTAAATAGGAATCATCCCACAGTTATTTGCCTTTCGTTGGCCACAATCATGAAGTAAATCCGCATAAAAGAGTGCCTGTGTTTAATGCCAAATATTAATGAAAAATAGAACGAGTGAGATTGGAAAAGGACATTTTCTGACAGAGTTCATTACAAATAGCTGGTAAATGTTCATATAAGTAACACGTGATATCGTGAAAATGTTTTAACCTAATATGAAGTGAATTTAGATCTGGTCCTGCAGATAATATTTTGTTTTTACACTTAATATTAATTTTAGTCTATGGTAAATATATCGTCCAAAAATAAATAAACTGTGTTTGTCATTCCTGTGTTTCTCATACAACATGCTTTACACACACTTATATCATAGGGCACTTGGTTTCGGGATTAAAAAAAGTTTTTAAAACCCTTTTTGAGAGGATTATAGAACTCAAATTCAATTGAATATAACGTTTTTTAACATTGAAGTATTCTAAAACCATCATTTTTCCTATCTACCTAAAAATGGAAAAATGACGTTTTTGTGTCGCCTCTATGGAGTTAAAAGTGGCGACACATAGGGATCACTTCTCCGTCGTCTATATGTCTGTCTGTCTGTCCGTCCGTCACAAAACTTGCCAGAAAATACATACATGTAAATGTAAATTATGTGATAAAACATTTTCTTATCGAAGTAATTTGATCACACATATGACAATACACACTGGCGAGAAGAATCATAAATATGGAATATGTGACAAAACATTTTCTCAACGATGTCATTTGATCAGGCATAAGACAACACATACTGGCGAGAAAAATCATAAATGTTAAATATGTGTTAAAGCATTTTCTCAAAAAAGTCATTTAATTAGACATATGACAATTTTATGGGAAACGGACAAAAGCCCTCCCGGACAAAAGCTCTAGCTCCCGTCCAAAAATGACAATGCGGACAAAAGCCCTCCCGTGAAAATGACAGGGCGGACAAAAGCCCTCTTGTGGAAATGACTGGGCGGACAAAAGCCCTCCCATAACAAAAAATATATGTATGTTAAATACCTGTGTTTTTTTTCCAATGCACTCAACAATTTAAAGCTTTAAAATATTAATTTGTTGTTGTTGTTTTCAATTGGCCTAAGTATGTGTATGAGCTTGAACCACCTTTCATTCTGAATATACTTTTCTGAAATGTTTAACAAGGTAATTGACTCATTACAAGGCACGTTGTAAATGTCTTGGTTATAGTTAAAAAATTTAGTTAAATTAAACTTCTTTTCATCATTTATTACTCTATTAATCTTAACTGCACATAATATTTACATGAATAAATATGTATTAACAAGATTTTTTTTTCAAGATTCAAAATATTTATTGGCAAAAACATTTTACAATGTCCATCGCCATGTTCGGCGGTTCAATAAACACATAATGAGAAAAGTATGTACATAACGAGAATGAGATAATTATAAATTAATTAGTAAATAGATTTAATAAACCAATCTTTTTAAATC